AGCAGGTCGAGGCTGTGGTGGCCGGGAGCAGCCACTGCACTCCAATCTGGGTGACAGAGTGAGACTCCAACTCAAAAAAAAAAAAAAGATCTAGGCTTGAGCAAGGGTTGGAATTCCCTTGGACCTACCTAGTTTCGAAGAAAGGAGTCCCCGTAGGCATCATGGCCTCTATTTTAAGATTTGGAGCAAAATCCCAGCTCATAATAAATTGCCTCTGCTGGTTTTGCACTTTTCTTCTTATATATACATATTTCCTTGGGAAATCACGAGGACAAGGATTCAAGCATTTCTAACCAAATATGATGAAGAACTTTCTCCATCTCAATATGTCTCTTCAACAACAGCAGATGCCAAATAGCACGAAGAATGGGAAGGAAAAAGAAAACACATTTACACAGAGCTGCCTGTGTACACTGGGTGTCTCACGAGCACTCCCTCTAGTCCTCACAGTGTGACATGCAGAAGATGTTATTTGTTCCCATTTTGGAAACAACGAAATGAACCCTGACCAGATAGCTAACTTCACCAAGGCCACCAGCTGGCCCCTGCAGGGATGGATTCACACCTCTCCCTTCACTCCTCACTCCCAATTTCACTCCAATGGCATCTCATCTTTGAGGTGCAGCCAAAATAGCACTTCACTCATTCATTCACCTAGCAAATGTTTACTAAGGATCATGTTCTTTGGAGGCACTGAGTATAAGCTATGAACAAAGGAGACAGAATGCCTGCTTGCATGAAACTTACTCTCTAATCACAGAGAGAAACAAAAAAAGAAATTTTAAAAATGTCCTGCCCTCCCCGGTCTTCCCCATCACAGAATTTTAACCATTGCATTGTAGTTACCTATTTAATTGCACCTGTCCCATACTTAACTATAAGCAGCATGAGGGAGTTGTGCTCACCATTATATCCTAAGGCTTCTATTATACTTAGCACATAGAAGAGGCTCTATAAATATTCAATGAGTGAGAGTTAACTTTTATTGAACATTTATTCATGCCAGAAACTATTTTAAGGGATCCATCAGGCAAAAAATCATTTGATCCTTGAAACAGCGTTATGAAGTATATACTACTTACTAATCCATTTTACAGATGAGGAAACCAAGGTACTAAGAGGTGAAGTGCTTTGCCCAGGGGCAAGCACAGCATTTTGCACAGTGGCCAATAAATTGTGGTGGCAGCTGTAGGGCTGTAATCATCACGTGCTATTTTAGGAGAATGGCTTAGAGTGGGCTGTGCAGCAAAATTGGAACCAGACGAGAGACAGGAAAGGCCAATTATGCAAGCTGTAGGGAAAAGTTGACTTCTTTATGGTTTATTTAGAGGCTGTTGGAGGTCCCCCAACCTCATTCCCCTGCCTCAGCTTTCATGAAGGATCA